AACCCCGATCGCCTGGATCCTAGGTCAATGCTCAACCGCTGAGCCATGCCCGGCCGGGCAGTAACTAATCTTAACAAAAACTGAAAATATCCCAAGGGAAGGAGGCTATATCCAGCTTGACTGAGCAAATCAGCTTTAGGGAAATGTCTATAATAACAAGGAAATACAAATGGGACTTCACTGGTCCAAGTGTATAAACATAAGCTACCAATTTCTAAAGCTGTGAGAGCTTCTTACTGAGGGCGACTCACTAGGACAGCTTGCTTCCCTCCCAAGTTAGAGACAGAAAATGGTGATCCAGGATCACTTAATGCCACCCTCTTAAATCCATGGATCCCCTTGAAAACAAAGAAAAGCAGCATGCTCCAAAGACCCTCCAGGGAAGCAAGAGGACCCAACACAAGTACTCACTGCAGCTGTGGCACGATCCCCGAACTCTCAGACGCCGGTGTGGCGGGCGTGATGGGGGTCATGGGGGTCATGGGCGAGGGGTACAGGGGCGTGGTGCCTGGCAAGGGTGCAGTCGTAAGAGTCTGTGAGTGGAAGAGCTGTGGTGTCTGTCCTGAGGCCCCCTGAGTCGCCTGTTGGGATGTTGACTGCTGAACTGTGGCTGTCACTGTCGTCACTGCTGCCTGTTGCTGCTGTTGCTGCTGCTGCTGCTGCTGCCGCTGCTGCTCCTCCAGGATGGACAGACTGCTGGTGTTCTGAATGGGCTGTGGAGTTAGCCCTGTGCCATACGGCATCATTGGACTAAAGATGGGGATTCCAGGAGTCATGGCGCCCTGTGCAAAGTCAGGAGAACGGTGAGTTAGGCTGGCTGGTGCTGCCCGATGAAAGGACAGATGAGATGTGTAAAGACAGGCACCTTCTGGTATAAATGTATTACTGAGCATCAATAGGGAGAAACTTGCTGTTCTTACACAAATCACTTCCTCTGTTACCATAACATAGTAGGTAAGAGCTCAGGATTTGGAATTGGACCTGGGTGTGAAATCCAACTCTGCTACTTATTACATGTGAGAACCTGAGAAAGCTGCTTAACTCTTTAGACATACCTAGAGGATAATAATGCCCTAAGACTGTTAGAAGAATCAGAGGGAGCACTGGGTGACCACGCATCCTTGTTTAAACTATTACCCTGCATACAATCCGGGGAGCACCAGTTTCCAGTTATGATGATAAATTACATGGTCGCCCTAGAGAGATCCACTTGCAGCATCCTACATAACGACAGACACATGGAAGACACTGAGTGTTAGCAATGAGGGTGATTATTCGAACACTATTGAAAAAGGTTAATCATTGCTCTCCAAAAAGGTTAAATCAACAAAGTCCAATGCACTTATCAGAATATCGATTTACTTTTCTACACTGCTTCTCAGCGTTTCCGGACACTGAGACATTTACTCACTGCCTGAGCCTTCCCAGCCCTTTGGGAAAGAGAGGCATGTGCCCTTTCTCCACCAAACAAGACAACCAGCGCCAAGAACAAGTAAACGAGTTGCCCAAGACCACAGGTCTTGTTGGCAGATTAGCCAAGATCACAACCACATTTTCCTGACACCCAGTCCAATCTTCCCCCGACACCAAAATCCATGGAGACCATGGAGCCTGCAGAGCTTGTCAAGGCCATGAACATTTAGAACCGCACCTGAAATCTCTGCATGGAGAGATCCAGTTTTCATTAGATTTTCAAATGGGTGCAAGACTCAAAAAAGAACCACAACCCTTTCCTGCTTCTGCTACTTTATTTGGCAGAAAGCATAAATGAAATGTGTGCAAGATATTTATGTCAAACTGTCTCATCAACATGGTGGCAGAAAGAGTGGGAGAGGACAAGCTGTGCCCTGTGGCCCTAGGTACAGGCATTATTCCACTGCATCTACCGCTCACTTCTATAAAAACACTGGCTATAAAAAATGCAGGTTACATTAATTTAAAAAGAATAAGACTATGGTTTTGAAAGCTCTGCCTTCCTTTATGCCATATATAAAAATGGACTAGAAATGAATAAATGACAGACATACATGTAAAAGCAAGAACTATGCAGAGAAACACCTTATGACTTCAGGTAGGCGAAGATTTCTTAGGACACAGATGAACCATGAAGCAACACTGATAAAGTGACCAGAAAAAAATGAACAACTTCTACTTTCCAAAAGGCACCATCAAGAAAATTAAAAATTAAGTCATCAGCAGGGAGATAATACCTGCAGGACACACGTCTGTGGGAGGACGTAAATCCAGAGCAGTCATCCCTAGACGTGCACTTTCACTTCCTGTAGTTTTAGTTCCCTGTGGACAACCACCGTCCGAAAATATTAAATGGAAAATTCCAGCAATTAACAATTCCTAAGCTAAACAGGGCACAGTTCTGAGGAGCGTGATGGAATCTTGCACCCTGTTCCATCCAACGCGGGACGGGAATCACCCCTTTGCCCAGCATCTCCATGCTGTATATGTAGCACAATGGGATATTTTGAGAGAGTGACCAGTCACATAACTTTTCTTACAGCATTCTGTTATAATCATTCTATTTTATTATTAGTTATTGTTGTTAATCTCTTCCTGTGGCTAGTTTATAAATTAAACTTTATCATAGGTTTGTATGTACAGGAAGTTTGTATATATAGGGTTCAGTACTATCTGCAGCTTCAGGCATCCACTGGGGGTCTTGGAACATGTCCCCCATGGAAAGTGGGGATAACTGTACATACAGACCAATTACAATTCAATAAAAGATGAACAAATGAACCAATAAAAATGGACAAAGAACTTTTTACAAGTGATAGACAAATGGCTGATAAGCACTTGACAAGATACTTAAGATCATAAATCTTCAGGAAAATGCAAATTAAAACCACAAAAAAATACTACTCAGCAACCACTAGAATAGTTAAAAGTAAAAACTGCCAAGTGTCAGTGAGGATGTGGAGCAACCAGAATTCTCATATGCTGCTGGTGGGACTTTCGTATAAAGTTAAACATACACTTACCACCCTGTGACCTAGCAACCCTGTGCCTAATATTTACCCAAGAGAAATAAAAGCACAGGGCACACAAAGCTTGTACACAATGTTTACAGCACCTTTGCTCATGGGAACACCCACAAAGTCAGTGATTGTAGAAGATAAAAAAATGTGGTACATCCACACAATGGCAAGAAGGGATTTGCAACATACAAACATACTGGGCAAAGAAGACAGACAGAAAAAAGCACAAGCTGATAGGATTCCATTTGTATGAAATCCTAGACTAGGCAAAACTATCTGTAGCTCTAGACAGCAGATGGGTAGCTGCCTGGGGTAGGGGAGTGACCACAAACGGGCAAGGAGGAATTTTTTAGGTAACTGGAAAGTTCAATAACTTGTACAGGGGGATCTAATTTCAAAACATACACTTAAAATGAGTGTTTTTATTGTTTGGAAATTATACCTCAACAGAGGTTGTTTAAAACTTTTTAGAAAGGGGGTAAGTTATTTGGAATCTTAAACATAAAAACAAAAAGATGAAACTAGAAAATACTTTTGTGAGAGCCACTTTCAAAATCAAAGACCCTATAATCACTTGGAACACCATCGTGTTTATCAGAAAGTTTTTACAAAATACATATTTTAGCTTCCAAGTAGACTCCCCCAAATTACACCCCATTCAAAGCCTAGGAGACCTCAACAAGATACAGAAGGCTTAAAGAATACAAATCAATTCTCAACCCCAGATGCTCTGTTACCTGAGGGGAGGCCAGGCCCTGAGCATAGGGCGGCAGGCTGTTGTTCTGATCCATGGCAATCACTTTCTTCTGGGCCTGTCAACAGCCTTTGCACTGGAGCTGCCTCAGCATCCAGTCTTTCCCGGGAGCATCCCCAGCGCAACTTCTTAGTGGCTTCCTAAGCTCTCTGGGTTATCTTCACCAAGAAAGTGATGCTGCTCTGAAAAATTTGAAGTTTAATGTGAGAATACACATAAGCTATACAATCGTATAAACCAGTTTCACGGTTACACGCACACACACAAAACAAACCCCAAAAGGAAGCTATTTTGAAATACACTTCTTTTCCTCGATAACGCTGAAAACTTACTCCTTCCATGTTTCCTGTGACTGCATGCAAGCAAAACTGCCAGTAGGACAAAACTGTTTTGTTACATGTTTACATCAAATATTCATAATGTTCAAGATTAAGGTGTCATAATCAGCACTGAAATCTTCTGAGGGAAAATACCCAAAGAAAACAAATTCCCAAGCAAACTTCAAGTCTGAGTAGAAATATTTATTAAGCACTACTGTATTCACAGTACTACTAGGGCAACTTAAGGTTCTAAAATATTCCAATCAGTTTTATACCAAAACATTGAGTCTTGGGTGTTAAATTCAATAAATATTTAATAGGATCCAATAGGCTTCCATGTGATCATTTATTGAGCTAATACTTTAGTGAAACACCGATAGAAGCTGTCCAGACACCATGTTTTTGTTTGTTTACCTCTTTAGAACACTTTATTTCTTTAGAACCCGTAAATACAAAGTGTGCCTGAATCTGGCTTTCCTTAAACTACTATTTTTTTCTTGATTAAACATTTGAAGTAACTTTTAGACAAAAGAAACAAGTGACTGTTGTCAAAGACCCTGTGCTCCGCGCAGCCGGGATGGGCCGTGTTGCTGCGGGAACCGACTGAATCTCAGGGTTCAACGAGCACGCAGCACCTTGTCGCACAGGACACGCGCGCTGTTAGGAGCAGACTTCAGTTTAACATCGCCGTCTACGGGGACGTTCCCACTAGGCTCGCGGGTCTCAGTTACAAGTTAAAAGTCAAAACCCACAAGCGCTTCAAGCGTGCGCCGCTGCCGCGCAAACCCTGATATCTCCCGACCGAGCGAGAGACCTGGAGGACAGCGGGCCGCACTCCCGAGACACCGGCCGAGAAATGAGAACGAGAACCCGGCCTCGGAGAGTGGCGGGGTTTACGGAAAGTCACTTTCTGGACATCGTTACCCTACAACGCAGCAGTGCTGCAAACACAAAAACGAGGAGAGACGGCGGCGGGACAGGAGGCCGGCTCGG